CAAATTCCTAGCTGGAGAGCTCGGGACAAACGTAACTCTTAAGGACCTCGAGCCAGAACCAGAGCCCGAGCAGACCAACCCAGGAAGAGACCCCGAACCAAGGAACCAGGAGTCTCAAAAAAGAACCCGGGGGTCGGAAGACGAAGACCGAGATGGTACGCGGCAGAAGGTTCTTACCATAATGGGTGGATCACCTTACTGTCCTGACACCGTAGCGGCAATCAAAGCTTATCAACGCCGAGCCGAGACGCCTAGCAACTGGACAAGACGCTCCGATCGACCTAACGACGTGATCACATTCGAAGAAAGCGAGACAAACGGGCTCGACATGCCTCATAACGATCCAATCGTCGTCACATTAGCAATAGGAGACCACGATATTTACCGAGTATTAATTGACACCGGCAGCACCATTGATGTGATCTTTCGCGAAACGCTCCAACGAATGAACATCGACATGTCACAGGTGATTCCGACCCCGAGGCCTGTCCTCGGATTTTCAGGGGAAACTTTGATAACGCTTGGAACCATCCAACTACCAGTCCGAGCCGGCGGGGTAACAAAGATAGTCAACTTCTCAGTCACCGATCGACCTACCATCTACAACGTCATAATGGGAACCCCATGGTTAAATCTAATGCGAGCTGTCGCATCAACATATCATCTGTGTGTCAAATTTCCGACCCCTAATGGCGTGAAAACGATATGGGGCAGTCAGAAAAATTCTCGGATGTGTTTCATGGCAGCACACAAACTCCGAAACCCTGTCACCGAAGCGAAGGCTGAAACCAATCACAAGAAATCAAAACTTGGCCGGAGTGAAGAGAAGGCTATATCTAAACAGTTATAGCAATTACAGATCGAGGAGGCGCGCGAGGAGAAGAAGCCTACCTCGGATCCTGTAATCTCCATTAGCCTCGACGACGAACGGCCTGAACGATGCGTGGAAATTGGCAGCGACTTAACCAAAGAAATCAAGACCGAGCTCATCTCATTCCTCAAAGAGAACATCGACACCTTCGCCTGGTCGGCTGAAGATCTACCCGGGGTAAGCATCGACGTACTCTGCCACGAGCTGAATGTTGACCCATCTTTCAAGCCCATCAAGCAGAAGCGAAGAAAATTGGGTCGGGATCGCGCAGATGCAGTGAACGCCGAAGTAGAAAAGCTCCTGAAGATCGGCTCGATCTCTGAAGCAAGATATCCGGACTGGTTAGCAAATCCTGTCGTGGTTAAAAAGAAGAACGGCAAGTGGAGAGTCTGCGTCGATTTCACCGATCTGAACAAAGCTTGCCCTAAAGACAGTTTTCCGCTCCCACATATCGATCGTTTAGTGGAAGCAACCGCGGGAAATAAGTTGCTATCATTCATGGATGCTTTCGCAGGATACAATCAGATTCTCATGCACCCCGACGATCGCGAGAAGACAGCATTCATCACAGACCGAGGTATCTACTGTTACAAAGTCATGCCCTTCGGACTCAAGAATGCTGGCGCAACGTATCAACGGCTCGTCAACAGGATGTTCTCCGAGCAGCTCGGGAAGACGATGGAAGTTTATATCGACGACATGTTAGTCAAATCCCTTGAGGAAAGCGATCACATAGCCCATCTACGCGACTGTTTTCGCCAGCTCAACAAGCACAACATGAAGCTCAATCCGGCAAAATGTCGTTTCGCGGTAAAGTCGGGAGAATTCTTGGGATATCTCGTAACTCACCGAGGCATCGAAGCAAACCCGAAGCAAATCGATGCTCTACCAAACATGCCCTCACCACAGAACAAGCGCGAAGTCCAACGTCTCACCGGGAGAGTCGCAGCCTTGAACCGATTCATCTCGCGGTCCACTGACAAATGCCTTGCTTTCTACGATACTCTGCGCGGGAACAAGAAATTCGAATGGACCAATCGCTGCGAATAAGCTTTCCAGGAACTGAAGAAGTATTTGGCCAATCCACCAGTGTTAGCGAAACCAGTCCCGGGCGAGCCATTATTCCTGTACATCGCAGTCTCTGATACGGCTATAAGTGGAGTCATAGTCAGGGAAGACAGAGGGGAGCAGAAGCCGATATTTTATGTCTCGTAAACTTTCACCGACGCGGAAACACGCTACCCGCAAACTGAAAAGCTCGCCCTCGCCGTAGTAATGTCAGCTCGGAAGCTACGGCCATATTTCCAGTCTCACTCAATTGTCGTCATGGCGCCCGTATCACTCCGAACCGTCCTGCACAGTCCGAGCCAATCGGGACGCTTGGCCAAGTGGGCGGTAGAACTCAGCGAGTATGACATCGAATACAGAAACAAAACATGCGCGAAATCTCAAGTCTTGGCCGATTTCATCATCGAGCTGCCAACAGAGAACGTCCGAAAAGAGTCATCCAACGCTGTTTGGATCCTCCACGTCGACGGCTCATCCTCAAAACAAGGTTCTGGCGTCGGAATCCGCCTCGCATCACCAGAGGGTGAAATCCTTGAACAATCCTTTCGGCTAAATTTCGACGCGACTAACAACGTGGCTGAGTACGAAGCACTAATAGCAGGACTTAAGCTGGCTCGAGGACTCAAGATCAACAAGCTGCGAGCCTTTTGCGACTCCCAGCTCGTGGCTAATCAATTCAATGGAGAATACGCGGCTCGCGACGAACGAATGGAAGCGTATCTTGCTCTCACACAAGACTTGGCGAAACAGTTCGGAGAGTTTGAGTTAACCAGAATCCCACGAGGTGAGAACACATCGGCCGATGCCTTAGCGGCTCTAGCTTCAACCTCAGACCCAAATCTGAAGAGGATCATACCGGTTGAGTTCATCAAAAAGCCGAGCATTGAAGATAATAGCAAGGATCAAGTTCTAACAGCTCGGGAGACAGAAGAACCGGAAGAAATGGACATCGAAGAGCTAGACCAGCAAACTACGGACGCAACCGAGCCCGAATACGGAAGCGATGCCAAATGGATCGGAGCCATCCGAAGCTACATCGCCGATGGAGAAGTTCCTACTGAAAAGTGGGCAGCTCGGAAGCTTAAGGCCAAAGCGGCTCGGTATACTCTGATCGACGGAGAGCTCTTTAAATGGCGATTTTCTGGCCCCCTCCTTATCTGTGTCGAAGGAAATGAAGCTCGGAGAGCCATGGAAGAAGTACACGGCGGATCTTGTGGAAACCATTCTGGCGGAAGAGCCCTGGCTATAAAGATCAAACGCCACGGATATTTTTGGCCGACGATGGTTAAGGACTGCGAGAAGTTTTCTCAACGATGTGATAAATGCCAGAGGCACGCACCAACCATTCATCAACCCGCCGAGCTCCTCTCTTCCATCACTTCGCCTTATCCATTCATGCGATGGTCCATGGACATCATCGGACCTCTACACAACTCCAAGCAGAAGAAACTTGTCCTCGTACTGACAGACTACTTCTCCAAATGGATCGAGGCGGACTCCTACGCCAGCATCAAAGACGCGCAGGTCGAGAACTTCGTCTGGAAGAACATCATATGCCGCCATGGGATACCTTACGAGATCGTCACAGACAACGGATCGCAGTTTATTTTGGCTCGGTTCGAAGGATTCTGCGAGAAATGGGGAATTCGCCTCAGCAAGTCTATGCCTCGGTATCCTCAGGGAAATGGACAGGCCGAGGCGGCAAACAAGACGATTCTCGACGGAATAAAAAAGCGCCTCGACGCGAAGAAAGGCCGCTGGGCCGACGAATTGGAAGGAGTATTATGGTCACACAGAACCACGCCGCGGCGGGCCACGGGAGAAACACCTTTCGCCCTTGTCTACGGCACGGAGTGTGTGATTCCCACCGAAGCCGAGATCCCGGGACTGAGAAGACGCTTTCTCCCCGAGCAGGAAAATTCCAACACTCAGATGATGCTGGACGAACTGGACTTAATTGACGAGAGAAGAGATTCAGCTTTGATCCGTATGCAGAACTATCAGAATGCAACGGCTCGGTACTACAATTCTCACGTGAAGCATCGCCGCTTCCACGAAGGAGAGCTCGTACTACGCAAAGTTTTCCAGAATACCGCCGAGCAGAACGCAGGTAAGCTCGGTACGAATTGGGAGGGACCTTACACGATCGCAAAGGTAATCCGTCCCGGCGTCTACGAACTCATCAACATAAACGGCAAAGCGGTACCTAGATCCTGGAACGCAATGCATCTAAGGAAATATTACCGCTAAAAACCTAAGGTACGCATGTACTTGAACTACGGGGTGGCTTGATCCCTGAAAAGGGTACGTAGGCAGCCCGTCCTCGGACGAGTTCAGCTACCCCCCCTAATTAAAAAAGGGGAGAGTGGGTCCGTATACTTATATACTCCCACTAAATTTTTCAAATTCTCTAAAGTTTTTACCCTTCGGGTTATCAAATCTTATCCACCTCGGAGATTTTAACGGTCATCTTATCGACCTATAAAGCTAAAAGTTCGTTCGGACGATGGCCACGTCCTCGGACAGAAAAAGCTCTTTTCACCGCCTCGGTTACAGCGCGCTATATAAACAGTCGAGACGATTCGGTCGGAGATATCCTGCCATAAAGAAATTGTCTTCAGAAAACCCAGTTGACTTCGACACTGGTACCCCAGTCCGCTTCTAAGCACTGGCTTCGACTATATCAGCTCGGGTCGCAACCGATAAAGATTAGTCCTACTTAATCAAAACCCAGTTATCCTAACACTGGTGCACGATTCATTTCACTTTCGGCTCGAAAGTTAAGACGTTTGGATTTAACTTCTCAACGAGCAATTCTTAAACTCGGTTAACTTAACACCGGTGCATGATTCTTTTCGCTCTCGGCTCGAAAGATAAAACCAAATATTTGACATTAGTTTTGAATTCAGTTCGGAAAAATGTTTAAGAAAAATACTTGTCTTACGATTACGAGGTTCATTTGAATATGAAATTCAATCCTGGAAATACAGCATATAATATTCAAGGGATAAAGCCGTCCAGGCGTGTCTTACAAAAAAGAGAATAAAAAGACATCTCGGGATCAGATCGAATCTTGGTTAACCGGCGAAACTTGAGCTACCTCGGTACCTCGGTTCGAACCCGACTGGTCGGCAACACCTATCGCAGCCGCGGCACCCTCTATCGAACGATTCCCGAAGCTTTCGTCGACAGAGTCTGGGGAAACCGGAGGAAGCTTCAAGTCCTCTCGCAGCTCGGTCCCGAGACGGACGTACTCATCCTCGGCGTCTCCATATTCAGTCGTCCATTGAAGGACCTCGGCTTTCTCATCCTCCACCTTTTTCCCTTCCTCCAACTCGGCTATCAGCTCGGCATTGGCCCGCGCTTGCACCAAGTACATATAGCGCGTAGACACCTTCCCGTACTGGTCCATCTTCGCCTCGATAGCCTTGACCTTCTCGGCAAACTCCCTTTTGGCTGCCCTCCGCTCTCTGATAATCTCCTTCTCCCGGAGAGCCTTCTCTTCGGTAAATAACCGATGAAGGCGTGCAATCTCGACCTCGAGCTTTCTCCGAGTTCGCAGGCTATCCTCCGAAGCCTTCAACCGCTCCACCTTCTCGGCCTTGGCCGATGCCTCGCCTCTTGTTTAGCCGCAATCGCCTCAGAAATCCTAGCCTCTACTTCGGCTCGGGAGATCTCCGACTTTTCACGAGCAAGCTCGGATTTCCGAGCTCCAGAATCGTAGGCTCGAACCATGGAATTCATCGAGTTGAAGGCCTGCAATAGAACGAGAATCGTCAGCAAACAAGTATGGAAACGATAGAAAAACACGCAAGGAACGAATCTATAACTTCAGAAATCCAGCAGCGGTCTCACGGTAGTTTTGTGCCTCCAGCAAGGCCTCGGGAGCGGAAAGCGGCGGACCCGAACAAGAAGCGATAAGATTAGCCGAAGCTATCTTATCCTTGTAGATGGGAACTTCACCACGGCTCCTCTTCTCCCTTCTGCGTCCTCCCGAGCTATCACCTCGGGGCCTCTTCCCTTTTGCCTTAGCCTTCGCCTCGGCACCCAGAGCTACAATCGCCAAAGCCCCTGCTGCGGCGGGAACTTCCACATCCGGCCGAACATCACCAGAGGCCTCGGGCCTGGACAAGTCTGCAGCGACCCGAACCTCCTCAGTCTCCTTGGCACCATCGGCAACCTGCGGATCAATGTTAACCTCAGGCGGAGTTGACGGTCCGAAAGTCGCCTCGCAAACCCTTTTCTCCTCGGCCGCCTTTCTTTCGGCAGCTTTCTTCGCCCTCAAAGATTGCGCAGCTCCTTGCATTTCAATGAGGTGATCTAGACGGTGGTCGGATGATTCTGAAGAAGATTGGCAGGGAGCTCCGTGCAACAAACGCAAGGCTCTCTCAATCCTTTTCTGGGAGAAGTGCTTCGTCCAATCGCACTTCCGAGCTATTAGTTCGTCGTGGTGGTCTAGAAAGCCTTCGGGAATGTCTTCGAGAAACGACGGGTTCCGATCTGCATGAACAAGAAAAACGGTCAGTAAAAAGGTTAAAGCAAAACAAGACAGCAAATACGGCTTCGGGCGTAGTACCGATTTGTCTCCACTTTCCAACAATTTTCCCTAAGTAGTCCTCGTGGACACTATACTCATTCAAGGCTACGAAGAAGAAATGGTCGGTGTATTTCTCATCCTTGCTCGGGAAACCACCGATAACCCTCCTATTTGGCCTCGGAGATATGTAAAATCTCTCAACAAGGCCCGGTATGCGCCGGATCTCTAGGAGATTCCTTAAGTGGCTTAGGTCGACGAGATTGACCGTCTCAATACTTCGGACTAAAATCCCCACTAGATGCCGCAAGCCTCGGGTCGTTATCTGGGATAAAGCAATCTTGTACGACCACAGAAACGCCAAAATCGGCCTCGGGATTGGAAGCCAAAGGTAGCAATGATAGAAGAACCCCTCGTAAAGGGTAAAAAACCCTTCGGGTGGATCATCGGCTCGCTCATTTGGAGTTGGAAGTCTGAGTTCAACCCCCTCGCTAAAACCAAATCGAGCCTTGAGATCCCGAAGGGAATCCTCCGTGCATAAAGTAGAACCCGGGGGATCAGGTTTCCTAGCTTTCTTGGCTCGTTTTCTCTTCTGTTGACCCTTGGCTGCTTGGACTTTAGCTTGGAGCAACCTAGCCGCCTCGTCAGAATCGTAGTGAACCTCCTCGGCCTTAATAGGAAGTAGAGGCGCCTCGGGGGCATTTCGCCAGCACGATACTCCAGCTCCACCAGCTGCCGGTGGATGGGTCCTCCTTCTACTCAAAATCGCCTCGGGATCATCAGGCAAATCCTGATCCCGAGCCACATTTGCAACCGCATCTTCCCGAACGATGAAACGGCTCGGGTCTTCTTCCCGTGAAGCCGACTCTGCATCACTTCCACGGTACAACACGATCTGATGGTCCGTGGTATCTGCCTCGGGGTCGCTCGAGGAACTCTAGACCATCTTTCTCTTGTAGACGGGAAGATGAGTGTCGCCTCGGGGCGAATCGCTGGAATCAGATAGAGACATTTTCTGGCTCGGGAGATTGAAGAAGTTGATCGGAGGAACAAAGCTCGACAGATCGGAGAAATCAACCTAGATCTAATGACGGCGGCGCTACGACGGAAGTATAACGGAAAAAGTAGAGAAAATGCAAGAACTCAAGATCAGAGAAAGAAGAGAACGAACCTTGAAAATTTTCCTTTGCAGTTGCGAAATGAGAGAATGAGTCGGAGACTTAACATTTATAGGGACTTAAGGCGCGTCGGGTACGAACGAACCAAATAAAAACATCGCGTCCGCGTCTAAGGCGCGTCGGGCACACACAAATCAAATAAGATACTTCGCATCCACACGAATCTCGGTAATCAGCGAAAGGACCTTTCCACTTCTCGAGAAGGAATCCCAACCGTCACACGCCAAGAGAAGATGAAATGACAGAGGAATTCAAATCGCCAAAAACTTTAAAGGGACCGAACTGTTCAAAGTAAACGGCTCGGCCTAATTGTCATAAAGCTCGTCACGCTCGGTTCTCCAAACTAACGAGTTGGGGGGCTAACTGTTGTGGTCGGATTCCATCCTTTTGCGCCGAGCCAGACTTAGAACACTTCGGGAGTCTTTCAGTGATCACCTCGGGGTATCGCATCATTCACCTCGGGATATCCATCTAATCGATTTAGTATACCCGAGCCCATCGCCTCGGGCATACCTTTAACAAGTAGTTTCAAGTACCCGAGCCCTTCGCCTCGGGGATACTTGAACAAGACGTTTCAAGCACCCGAGCCCTTCGCCTCAGGGATGTTTGAACATTACGTCTCAAGCACCCGAGCCCTTCGCCTCGGGGATATTTGAACATTACGTCTCAATCACCCGAGCCCTTCGCCTCGGGGATATTTGAACGTTACGTCTCAAGCACCCGAGCCCTTCGCCTCGGGAGTTTCTGAGCCCATCGCCTCGGGGACACCCGAACAAGCCATCCTAGAGTGACCGAGCCAGTCCTTCCTGTGTACCTGAGCCGATTGCACAAGTTTCTCCGAGGTGAAGTCTTCATCATCGCCCGAGTTAAAGACTTGGTAAATATTCGCTTTCAAAGTACCATTTCCAAGCAAGGTATCATTTCCGAACAAGAAGGATCATTTCCGATATACCCGGAAATGATAAGAGAGAATCTAGAAGGATCGACTCAAATCAGGAAATCTCCCAAAGACTCCGAAAAATAAGGAAACTATCCTAATCCGCGATATTCTGAGCCGACTTCAAGATAAATGGAAATCTTCCGAGAATATCGCTGGAGAGGCGGTTTATCACCCCTATATAAAGAGACTCAAGGCTCAATCAAAGGCAAGCAACATCGCTCTAGAATTTACACTACGCAAAGCTCTCACAGCACAAACACCTTTTCTTTTACGATCAACTCTTGTACGATCAAAATCATCTTTTCGTTAATAATATCAAGAACACCATCTTTGGTATCAATCGTTTCTGTTGTTCTTTGAGAATTCACGATTATCGTATCCCTAAAATAAAACCCTAGACAAATCTTGATTGTGTTAGTTTCGACTTCCACATATGCCGAGAAGTATCCTGTTTTCTTTGACGAACTTCTCACACTTAGAAGTTCATTCAGCTCGGGGACTCCAATGACGTAGCCAGCCTCCGCCGCAACGGTTATAATCCCGAGGATGGTTCGGAGGAGATTGGGGGTTAATTGAGGTAAAGCAATCTCGAGAGCCGCCAAGAATCGAACTAGGGCTTCGGGAAGGGGGAAGGTCAATCCGCAGCCCTTGAAGTAAATTTCGTAAACACAAAAGTAGCCGACACGGTGGTTCTCCGGGGATTCCGTAGGATCGGCTATTTGCGCCTCCGCTATAATTCCAGGAGGAATTTGACAAAGCCCCTTTAATCGCTCAAGGGATTGAAGAGTACAGGTGGATTTGTAATGAGGACCGGCGATATCGTTAGGACGAGTGCATTCGTCATTACTAGAACGCCTCTCGTCGTAAGACGGAGATTCAAGTCTTTCAGAATCAGAAGTCATCAGATAAAAATGAAAAATTCAAGATCCGGCGAAGAGAGGTTCGGTGAAGAAAAGTAGAGAGAAGTTTTGATTAAAGCACAAAAGTAAAAGAAGGAAGTAATGTGAAAAGAAGTTACCTCACACAAACTAATGATGAAACCGCCTTGGAAGTTGTGTGAGAAGTGGGAAGGTTTTTTCCCGTTTTAATAGTAATTAATTAATATACGGTCATAATGATGACAGATGTCAATCGGGTAAAAATGGCTAGTGCCGAAATTAAAGGAGTGATGAGATTTTCGGCGGGAAATCAGAAAGATTCTCGAGCGCAATCTTTGGTCATTTAAAGCATTTAAAGTCCTCCGAATTGGAATGACACTTCGAAGAACTTAGGGGGCTAATTGTTGGTGTCGGATCCCGCACCAGAAGTCCGAGACCAACCAAAGATTGCCACGTAGTCAAGATAATGGCCCATAAAGGATAAAGCCCATTGGACCCGTGAGCCGAGGGAACGGTCGAAGTGGTGACAACCACTTCGAGAATCCGAAGTGACTGCACTGTGACATGAGTTCGGTGTAGAAGACACGGGTAAGTCGGTTCGAGGACAATTGGGCCAAAAAGGCGAGGCCCATGAAGATCAGAGTCAACTCAAATTCAAACGTTGAGCATTAAAGTCAAAGAATCAAAACGGACACATTTAAGAAGGAATAATTGTACTTAATTACTCATTTTAATGTCGTTTCTCTATGTATAAATATAAAGGCCAAAGGCCATGTAAAGGGGATCTTCCTCTGAAGCGAGAAATACGATAGCAATTTTTGTAGCAATTCATAAGCCTTTTACGTTCTTATTTTTGTCCCTCAAGAATAATCTTTCCTACTAATAAAAATACTTGAGTGTGTGAATCCGACATCCACAGTTTTCATATCAGACCGCCATTCTAGCATTTACAGCGGTTTAAGGAAGGTATAAATGATTAACCAATTTCACAGATAGAAATTTACAAAATATTAACCTCTGTTTGGCTATGTAAGTTAACTAATGGGCATTATAATTTGGCTTTCAGGTTTACACGGACGCGAATCATGCTGCCTGTACTGTTCATCTGTGGAGGAATGTAAAGCATTTGTACAAGCTCCAAACCCTAGCTGGTTTAATGTCAGCTGCAGCCAGAGCCTATGTAGTTGATGACTTCAACAAAAATTTCCTCCAAATTCAAAAGCTAAGCCCAGGATGTGCTGCATATCTTGTTGACATAGGTAGGTCATTATACTACATATCATGGTTATATATATTCAAGGGGTATGAGGACTTAAAGATATATATTTATCTCGTTAACATAGGTTACACTATTTTAAAATATATAAGAGTTGTACTGCTTAATTAGTGTTGCTAATGATTATGTAGGATTCTCTCATTGGACAAGGGTCCATTCTATGGGAAAGCGGTACAACATAATGGACAGCAACATCGCCGAATCCTGGAATAGTGTACTGAAAGAAGCTAGAGATTATCCATTGATATGCATGCTTGAATACATTCGTACAACTCTTATGGATTGGTTCGCTTTCCGTAGAGCCAGGGCTGCACGGTCACAAACCACCTTAGCTCCCAAAGTTCGCAACTTAGTAGAAGCTAATTTTGAGCTGGCAATGGCCATGTCAGTAAGGCCAATAAGCGAGTTCGAATTTCAAGTTCAAATTACAAGTGGTGAATGTTTCACAGTTAAACTAGTAGACGGGACTTGTACCTGTAATGAATTCCAAAGCCTTAGCATTCCATGTGCCCATGTGATAGCAGCAGCAACAAGCATTGGAATTAGCGTGGATAACTTTGTAGCACCGGCATACTTTGAACACACGCTTCGACTTTCTTATGCCGAGAAGATTTATCCTATTCCATCTGTCGGGGGACCCGATAATGCGTCTGGTACTGTAGGGGATCTTAATCCTCCTTTTGTGCGACGTCCACCGGGCAGGCCTAAGAATATTCGGATCAAATCTAAGGGGGAATTCAAGGTATGATTCTATTCTATTTACTTAACAAGTCTATTCTATTTATCATCATCAAATATTCCTAACACAATGTTTTGTATTTTAATGCAGCGCCCTCGTCAACAGTCTAACAGGAGGTGTTCCCGTTGTTGTCGCCCAGGACACAACAAGGCTTCCTGTAAAAATGCTATATAAGCATTAGCAACAACCATGGGTTTTAATGAAGGTGTTCCAAAGAAAGTTTTTGGAGTGGGCAAAATAATGGTTACCGCAGCAAGTATAGATGCGATGATGTATATATGCAGTGGCTGTGTAGTCCAAAGCTATCACAAAATACTCTGGTATATCCTATCATGGTATATACCATAGTATTTTGGATGATACGCTTATCTATCTATCTCTATGCAGTGTTGTAAATAAGGTTGTGATGCCCAAGAACACCATGTTTTGAAGATTGTAATATATTATAAACCCAGAAATGGTTTAATGTTATTTTGATGCCTAAATAGTATTTTGGATTTTAATTATATGTTGACTAAAAGTTTGATTATCAATTCTGAACATAACAAAAACAAATCAGAATTAACCTAAATCTAAATATTATAGAGACTACTAGAACTATATAGCAACTTCTCAAGGAAACATCAAATACTTTTTAACATAGTAGCAAATCATCCAAATAAGTTTACAATAATTAAACAGTAAACAACATCCAATCCAAAGATTTGATACTAGGAGTACAAGATAAAAAGTAAAGAATTCCACCATTTTACTACATAGAAGTCTACAGAGCAATAGGAGTTGGAGAAAATGCACCATTTTACTACATAGATGTCTACAGAGCAATAGGAGTTGGAGAAAATGCACCAAATGCTTCAATAGCATACTGTTTTGCTGCAATTTGGATCTTTTCATCGTCAAGTTCCCTGTAATAGGTTTGCAGTGATGACACTGCGTGCAGCTCAAGAAGAACAATCGATACAATCCCAACCAAACCTGCATTACAAAAATAAATTGGTTACTGTACTGTTCTGTCTACATAATATTTACTAAGAAGGAAATAGACCAACCCAAAGCAGAACAGTGGAACGGTATGGTAGGCCTTAAGATAGACATAGGGTCAAGCCTTGGATTGTGGGCAGCCTCATTGATTCCATGTCTGGCCAAGAGATAAGGCAGCATGATTGAAAGATGTTCAAGATACTGACTTATTTGCTGGTCACTCAAGCGTCCTCTGTTACAATCAAGGACAAGAAGCTTCCACGTCTTCAAGTCAATGACCAAACCGATCCAATGCTGTCTCTCAACTTGCATGGGGATGTAGACAACATCAACCTCATGCATCCATTTTGGTCTTGTAATAAAGGGAGCAATGGATACATTGGAGAAGGAAAACATCTTCCTGTCTGGCGATCTCACAAAGCGATTGTACTGCCGGTACAGCTCAGACACAAAGGTGGATGGTAGAAAATCAAAACGCAGAATAGGTGTCGTATCACGACGTAACTGGATGAACTTGACCAACATATCCGCACTCTACATTTAAAAACAGTCATACTCAGTGATACAATTGATGGATCAAATTATAGGTCTATTATATGACAAAATAAGTACATACCGACTCATCAAGAAAACCTATGGCTTCGTAAATTTGGAGAAATTCTATGTTATCCACCACCATGCCCCCTGCTACATCATAACAGCTGCAAAGCACATGGACTATCCACATTAGATTAACTGTAAACCAACAAACATCAATAGACATTTTCAAGATGTATTTCTTACGTTGACCTTTCCATCTGCTTAAGAAAAGCTTGCACTTTCACTTTACTAGGTGGAGTAAATGGATCAAAATCACCTGTAAATAGCATAGCTGTAGGTATCTCTCTTGTCCTGCTAACGTCAACACAATCATCTTCCTTCCCAGACCTGTGTCGTTTATTTCTTCCCTGCCCTATAGGCGTAGCATCAACACATATCTTTGTGATGCTGTCACGTACACGCAAGCTATGTCTGCTTGGAAGTTGCGAGTTCCCCACTCCTGCCTTACGCTTCCTAGTTGACTTATTAGTCCTCATGGCAACACCTTCTTGTGTCAATCCTAAAGAAAAAGTAGGTGCATCTAACTCAGCGGGACTCTTCGTAGAATACACAGTAGCTGGTTCCTAAAACATATTGAACCACACATAAATTTCATCACTTTTAAATATGGACTTAAATGAAAGAAATAAATATTCACCCATACATTTTCTTCCGCCAACACAGGTCCACCCACTGCTTGCTGGGTTAGACCAACTGAGAATGTAGGTGGAACTATATCTTCTAATCCAGACATCTCAGCGTCCCCAGCTTCTTCCTCCACAACCTTCTTGCGGGGCTCCTGGTGAAACAAACAACAGCTCTCTCAGTTGTAAAGAAAGGAGCTCTCTCGCAAGTGAACACTAATAGTAATTATGCATATATAAGTGAGGCAATCCCAACAAATCAACACAAGAATAAGGGATGCTATACCCTAAGGGATACAACCTAAGGAACCCAAACAGCCAAATTAAACACACACCATATAATAAATACATGTTGTACTATTTGAATAGAAAAAGGGAAGCTATACCCTAAGAGATTCAACATAGGGAACCCAAACAAACAAGTTAAACACACAACAAATAATATTTCATATTCAACTATCTGTATAGAATTAGGGAAGATATACCCTAAGGGATACAACATTAGGAACCCAAACAACCAAGTCAAACACACAACAAATCAATACAGCGAAAACAATACAACATAAAAACATAAACATACCTTCTCAGGTCTGGGAAGTTGCGTTACTGAGGCTCCAACCCTAGGCTTCTTATTTGTCTTACTCTTACTCCGGGTAACACTAGACTGCGATGGTTTCTTTCGACTCTTAGAAGAACCAGCAGATCCGGGTTCCTTACACAAATATCAACATTATATTAGTTGTTATATATGAATACACATCTCTCTGTAATTAAAAACAGTAGCAAACTGAATACAAGTAGAATAGAACTAACCAATAGACAGATATAAGCAAACAAGGCAACATACAGGTGGTCCCTAAAACATACCTTATCCCCAACAGCTCCAGTCTGAGGAACCTCAAATCCTTCAGGTTCAGTTTCTTCAGTAGGCATCCTCTTTTTGCATTCACAACCAGAAGCTTCAATCAATACAGCAATGTCTTTCTTTAAATCTGACATTGCAGAATCAATGTACCCCTTCATTTCCATCTTGTCAATATGATGAAGCCTGAGATAGCGTTCTTCAACCGCATCTGTTGTTTCTTTTATAAGCGCCTGTACTGATACATACCTCCCATCATCAGCAGCAGACTGACTTGAATTGTGGGCAGTTCCAGTGGCCCTGGGGTCTTCCTCGTCCTCACTAGACACATCTTCTCCATCGACTTTTGTCATTAGAGGCTCACTAGGCTCAGCTTCAATCGCAGCAGCATCCCTACCACCAGTCCAAGTATTATGTTCGAAGGGATGGTCATCATGCACCAACTGAACAAGATGTGTTACTTCTTCATCATCTTCTTCATCAGAGAAAGACAGATCCAACACCTCCTCCTGGTTTTCTTCATTCAGAATGGATGTAACTCGGGCCTAACATGAAAAGCAACACATATGTATTACTTTTGATATATGGAAAAGTATGTAAACATGAAGCTTCATACACTACAGACAGTCTAATAATAAAAAGAGAAGCATACCTGGCCTGTTTGATCAACCATACGGGCATTGTGGACATTGATACATAAACTCCTTTCAATAACATTCTGAACAATGTCTGTAATTGGAACTGCAGGATCATGAATGTTAAGCCCAACAAAAGGGCTTCGGATGATCATTGGACAACACGCAACAGTTACAAGCACTAGAGCATGAGAGAAACCTTGAATGGCACATGTCTCATTCACTAACTGTCTAGCAGTCCGCGCCTTTGCACTCACAACAGTCTTTAAAAAAGATTCACGCCCCCATGGATACTTCAGAAATGCTTCAATATCACCTACCATTGCAACATGCTTTGGACTGATGTTTGTCTTTGCACAAGTAGGACAAAGAATGCCATCCACCAGAAGCAACAACGCAAGTCTGAAACGTGTCTCATCATCTTTGTATTTTTTCCCTAAAAGCAACTTCTCCAGAATCCATGTTGTTGTAGGCTTAGCAAGATTGCCGAATAGAGATTTCCACAAAGCAGTCTTCAAATGCGCTCCTCTCCTTACAACTATTCCCCTGCCCCTGTCGGGCTTAAATCCAGTCTTCCCACAATTGAGACCAGTTACAAGAGCAAAATCCTCAATGGCATATCTAATTGGCTTACCCGCAAACACCCACCACAACTCATACTTTTTGTTGGTCACCAACTGCCTCGAAAGGAGGTAATGCACAAACATTACAGAGAATGTGTGGTTTCCCATCAACATCAAAGAACCAAACTGCGAGTTACACAACCGCTCATTATCAGCATCCGAAAGCGCCTGCTTTATGTTCTCAATCCACCGCAGATTAAAGTAGTTATTCACCCTATGCCTTCCAGATGGCTCAAACCCAGTACAGAACATACGTTTAGGCAACGGCTCTTCTTCCATTCTTCACCAACTACAGACCAATAGTTATCGGAATTAAAAAACAAAACAACCAGAAATTACTGTTGCAGAGGCGAATGCGTGGAGAAAGGCTTACCGTGTGTTGAATCTAACAGAGATGAAGCACAGTTGCAGAGAACTAAGACTTTATAATTCCGAAATTGGGCTCCACTCCTCCGGCACACCGCGGCAATTCACTTGAGAAAGTCGATAGATTGAGTCAGAAATAGATATGGAGCAATCGACAACAGTTATAGAAATCCCAACCCTCGACTTACTCAGAAACAAACGACAACCGCTAATCTGGCGACGGCAAACTTCTAATTCCGGCGACGGAGATGAATCCCAACCAGAAGGTCGATTCCGGTGAAACCCTAACTCTCTGTTTTCTCTCGCGACGAAGTTGTCGTTTAATTGGCGGGATTAGACATCGACTTGTCTTTTCACTTTTACGGTTCGTGTTTCTCAAGGTTGCGAAAGTAGGCAACTGTTACTTATGCAATGAGGGTAAACTTGTCTATAATACATGAAATACATGTAATATCGACGGTTCATGGTTAGAATGGTTATAGAGTGAATTATAATTTTTTTTTTGGTTATAGACTGCAATTCCCTAAAAATAATCATGTTTGTTCAAACAAAAAAAAAAAAAAAAAAAAAAAAAAAAAAAAGATAATGTAGGTTCTGTTTGGAAGAAGTAAACACTTACATAAGGTTCTTGAAATCTTTCTTGGAGAAAGATACAATGTTGATAAAACTGAAATTCTCAGACATAACATCAAAGCAAACGATGGAACGTTTTTGGTCAATGATTGCTTGATAATACAGTTAATGCATATTCCATCATCTTCATGAGGATAATGACGTGTGCAACATTGTATCTTTATCCAAGAGTCCCTAATGTCAGAACTTGATACTCATGTGAGCCGCCACTAGGTAACCAGGTGATCATAATTAAGCATAACTTGAACTGTTTTTCAATTGGATCATAACCAAAATAAGTTTTTTTCCTTGACTGATGAACCCCGTCTGATGTCAATTTGGGTGTTGTTGCATACTCTCCATGAAGAAGTAAACACTTATATAAGCTTCAGATCATCTACAAAGTTTGAAAACATATAAACTCTACGATTGGAAAACCCTTTAAATTCTGGAACATCAAGTCTTACTTTTGTGATAATTTTCCTCTCGAGATTGTAATGAAAAGTGTAGATAAACTCTTCTTCGTAGTATGGGTACGATACAACTCCTCCATGACTAATCATTCTAGCTGGGGCTACAAAACCGGCTTCATTCAACAGCCATTCAAGGGGCACTTCGTAGATATGCTTCGACCATTTATGTTTCTCGGCATCCTCTAAAACCCACAACTCTGAAAGACTATGGTTAATAGCCCAATCACTTACACATAATTTACCCTTGTAGTTCATCAGAATCAAAGGTCTATCAAACTTTCTTGCCAAGTCTTGTTCAACGTTAATAAAACTGAAATTCTCAGACCTAACATCAAAGCAAACAACAGTATGTTTTTCGTTATTGATCATAGCAGGATAAAACAAGACACCATTGATGCATATCCCACTATTATCTAGAGGATAATGAAGTGTGCAACATTGGATCTCCCTCCATAAGAAATTTTCCTTTATGGTCCCTAATGTCAGGACATGATACTTAGGGTACCAGTTTTCTGAGCTGCGACTAAACCAGGTGATACGCAATACCTTAAACTGATTGTCGATTGCATCATAGCCAAAAGAATACTCTGCTCTTCCCTTTATCCGCTCTGAGGGAATCCTTTTTATTGTCACTTTGGGTGCGGTTACAGACTCTCCGGTGATGGGATTAGAAATCACCACCCATGTATAGTTCCCAAGATGGTTACTTTGAAGATATTGACCACAGACCAGTCCGCAGACAGGGCAACATAGTTTCTTTAAATATTTGCCACAAGTCCTATGATGAAGGGTGGCTACAAGAAAAGAATTTGTATCAAGATTTTGAGGTAAGAGTAGAAGAACAAGTTTTCTCCATCGTTGAAGGTGAAAAGGAGCTTCGGTGGAGTAAAAGATTTGATCGGGAACAACAGGTTGGAATTTGGACGACGAATTATGGATGACCAGTGCTTCGATACACAACGACACCTTGCTATAGCCTTCAGCGACAATCTCGACAAGATATTGAGGACGAGATCAACAGGGAGTGGATCAGAGTAAGATCGTTTACTCTGCTGCTTCAGATTACTCATGGTGTCTAAACCCTAGATTTTGAACACAAGCTGCTCTTTCAGTTTTACATGGCTTTACCCTATGCTTCAACCATACTCCATAAGATGGGCTTTGTTAAGGCCCAATACCTACTCACTAATTGTAGGCACCATTATTTAGGTTCGTTATTATTTATTTGTTAAGGCCCAATAAATATATCATTGTATGTTTAGTTTCAGACTTTCAGGTTAGTAAAAACATTTTTATCGAAGTTGATGTTGACTAAACCAAGTCAAAACCCCAAAAGCGTGTTCCACTAACTTGTGTCCCAACTTTAAAGAAAATCTTGAACCAGTCTTGATTCTAAATGACATATTTTGTCGTGACTTGTGGTGCGAGAGACAAATTCTTCAAAATTAATGAACCTCCAACCAGCAGAATTCAACATCAAAAACCTCTGTTTAACTCATCTCATTCGTTTAAAAAGCTTCACCACTTTCAATAAAGCATCGATTGTTAGGGTTTTTATCAGTTCTTCTACTCTTCATCACAATCTTTGTCTTGATGTAAGAATCTTTCGCTTTCCTTTCTTTCCACGCAAAAAGTCTTGAGTTATTTTCCCCTTTAGTTTTGATCCAAACTAATTAATTAGGGTTTCCACCATTTGTCAGCGACATGGACGAAGAATCTATTTTCAGCAAATTCGAAGGAGAAGAGACGATGGGAAAAGTTCTTCTATTCGCAATCGTATCAATTTTCACAGGGATTCTGTTCCTCCTCTTGCTTCATCTCTACGCTAGACTCTTTTGGTGGCGTGTGGAACAACATTTCAACCTAAACCTTATCCAATCCGACGAGCCTGGTTCCACAGTCATCGGACGTAATCCTCGACGACGTCGTTTCGTCTTTGCTCAAGGTCAAGAAGATCCTCCTCACAACGCCGGTCTTGATTCTAAAATTCTCCAATCGATCCATGTTATTGTTTTCAAGTCTACGGACTTCAAAGACGGGTTAGAATGTGCCGTTTGTCTCTCCGAACTCGTTGATGGCGACAAAGCTAGGGTTTTGCCAAGGTGTAATCATGGGTTCCATGTTGATTGCATCGACATGTGGTTTCAATCTCATTCCACTTGTCCTCTCTGTAGAAACACCGTTGGTTCCGTGGAAGAGACGATACATGGAGGAAGTGAGGGTTTACCTCAAAATCAAAACTTTGAATCAGGGCACTCGAGTAATCAGCATAATACATCTCAAGATCAGAGCCCTGTTCTTCGGTTTTCGACAGAACCTCTGAGTTTTCCGACAAATGTTCTGGTTTGGGGAGATCAGAATCAAGTTAGAAGTGCAGGCCTCGTTGTTACTGAAGAATCCCCTTCTGGAAATTTTGCAGATTCGTCTAACGATCATCAACAAGAATCTAGTAGTACCAATACCCATATCAGAGCACAAGAAGTGAGGGCGGTTGTGGTGGACATTCCGGCGAATTCAAGTGAGAATTTACCCGAGAGAATCGACGAAGAAGAACCTAAGTCACCGATGTTCACGAGGTTAAGATCGCTTAAGAAGTTTTTGAGTAGAGAGAAGAAAGGTGTAGTTTCCGTTATTGGTTCAAGCGGGACCAACAGCAACAATGTTTGAATAAATAGGTAATCTTGAACTCATTCAAGAAATGTGTAGTTTGATTTTTGAATTGGTTATTTTTGTATATGAGAAGTGTGACATAAACATTCCATGTATAGTTTGATTTGATTCAAATCTACATTAGTTGTTTTCTTAGAAGAGATGATGATTACGATGGTTGATATAGTTTGAAATCCAATTCTTGCAATGGCAAAATAACACTATATGAAAAGTAATGTTGTATATAAAGGAACAGACCAAGAACGTTTCGACTTTATGAAGTTCTAAGCACTTTCATAGGTGCCACATTCTCTATATAATCTATAAAGACATGAACGAGAGGATGCTCGGATGCTTCAAATCCTCGTATTTCAACTCTACGGATAGTGTTCCTCTCGGGATTATAATAGAAAACGTAAAAAGGGTTGAAAAGAAAGTACGGAGACAACACGATTTCGCCTGTTCTAGTTAGTCCAACAAAGCGTAAATCAGTGTCATCAGGCTCCCACCATCCATTGGGGAATTCGTAGATACGCTTCGACCATGTATGTTTATCAGCATCCTCAAGAATCCACATCAGTATTGCTCTAGTTTTTCTATTTATTCCTTCATAGTTGTAATTAAATAAAGGATGATAATCACCCTGATCATTTTGAGCCTCAAGTAAACCCAATTTACCATTGTAGTTAATCAGAATCGAATCACGTTTTATCACCATGTCATGTGTGATGTTAACGAAGCTGAATTTCTCAGACCTAACATCAAAACAAACTATCACAGAAACCCCATAACCACGGACCTTCGCGGCTGGATAATACAAAACACCATTAATGCATATCCCATCAAATAAAGGATAATGAACTTTGCAAAACTCAGTATTCCTCCATAGTTGTTTTCTATTCCCTAGTGTAAGAACTCTCGGCGATATATCATATATTCCACAACGACACCAAGTCATACACAAAACCTTGAACTGTTTTCCGACCGGATCATACCCAAAATAGCTTCTCGACTCAGTTCTATCTATTTTCACTTTCGGTAAGGGGACAAGTTCTCCCATGCTGAGATTACAAACTGTTGTAACTGATTCTGTCCACTTTGTATCTTGATGACAGATCAATCCATTGGCAGGACGACAAACTCGAGAGGAAACCTTTGTAGGGAAATAGGCTAGATAATCGGCAACAATATGAGACGAGTTATCATCTGGATTTTGAGGCTGAGGGGAAGAGTAGAAGAACAAATTTCCATGATCTTGGAAGGTAAACAAGAGCCTTGGACGAGTCCAAGACTTAGTCAGGAACTGCTCAGTGAAATCTGGACAACAAAGTATGGAAGACCAGAACTTTGATACGCAACGAAACCTAGCTATAGACTTTGGTGGGACTCTCAAGAATATATCGATAAGGAGATCGATTGGGATCGAGTCTGAGAATTCTCTTCCTGAGGTTGAATATTGTGTATTGGATCGGTGATCCTCCGTGACGATCTTCTTAAGCTTTTTCATGGCGCGTTGGCTACGTTAAAACCCTAGATTTTTTTTGGCTATAGACAAAGGAAAACGACTTTGGCTCTATTACTCTTCTTCGATTTCAACTTTATTTATAGGCAAGACATGAAAACCCTTCTTAAGTCGATAGAGAAAAGGAAGTAAACCCTAATTCAGAAAATAATTTACATGTAAATTGAAATACACAATATGGAAATTAAATAAAAGTTTTTCTTTTCACATTGTTTTATTTGATAAAATTTTACATCAACAAATTGTACTTAATTAGATAAAAGAAATATATCATCATGAGACAAGAATCAAAGATAGTAAGTGAAATCTCAAGAAAAAACAAGAGTGAAAACATAACCTAACAAAGTAATTAAACACAACATAACAAAGCTTTGAAACAAGATTTGAAATCTTATAAGATAAAAGCCCGTAGAAATAAGAACTTCTTGCAAGTGCAACATCATAATAGGATTAAATTAGCTTTGTTTTTAAGATAAAATCCAAACAATCTTACGAGTAACAATATCATAAGAGCAGAAATCCAAAATATAAAGTCTCAAGTTGCAAAGCCTTGAACACATCATCAATCACATAACATCAAATTCTACATAGTCCAGAAAAGTGTGTACAAAAGTAAAATGATGCTCAAACTCTTCAAATCCCTGAATATTCAAACTTGTAACAGGTTCCTCTCGATATTGTAGTAGAAAATGTCGAAAGGGTTTGAGAGATAGCCCGCGTACGGCGAATACACAATTTCACCGGTAACAGTCATTCCAACCATCATGTGCGTGTTGACTATTTTGTCGCAGAAAGGTGGCAGGGCGCATATACGCTTGGACCATTTATGTTTTCCAGCATCTTCTAGAACCCACAACGCAAATTTTCCTGTACGCCAACGGATATCCTGATGTGCACCTAATTTACCTTTGTAGTTGAACAAAGTTAACTTCTTACCACGTACCATGTCTTTATCTAATTTAATAAAGCTGAATTTCTCAATCTTAAAGTCGAAGCAAACTATCTCATAAGATCGAGATTCTTTAAAAGAAGCTTCGTAATACAAAACACCATTTATGCATATTCCATCACCTATATAAAAATGGGGTAATACTGGGTCTTGGATCGTCCTCCATAAACGTTTTCCAGTCTCCAGTGTCAAAATACGATGAGTATTGGGTATTCCATAACGTGACCATGTCATACACAACACTTTGAACTGTTTGCTGATCGGATCAAAGCCAAAATAGCTTTCTCCAACACCGGTGGCTTTCACTTTGGGTAAGGTTTTAGACTTCCCCGTGAGGGGGTTACAAATCACCCGCGCTTTTATTCTTCGCCAATTCCTTCCCCACTGAAGGAAGACCGATCCACGGAGTGGGGCACTGACTTCAGAGATTCCAGCTCGAAAATATTTGGGAAAATGCTTATAAGGGGTGGCTACAAGAGAAAGAGAAGAGTTCTCATCTAGATTTTGGGGTTGAGGCAAAGAGAAGACAAATGACTCTTTATCAACTTGTAAGGCAAACAAGACTCGTCGACGAGCTACTTTCAGGAACAGCTCCGTGAAATCAGGACCGCGAAGTATGGATTCCCATAATTTCGATACGCAACAAAACCTAGCTATAGTCTTTGCCGGAAATCTAGAGAATATATCAATAAGAGGATCAACTGTGATTAGGTTTGAGTAATCTCTTACCGAGTTCGAAGATTGTGTGATCGACAGATCCTCTGAGAACTGCTGCTCCAGATTTTTCATGGTGGATGTTCCAAACCCTAGAATCACTCTTTCAGAGCTTTACACGAACTTAAGCGACTTTGGCGATTTTTTTTTTCCAATCAACTGGCTTTATAGTGGAACGATCATAAATGGGCTCTATTCATTTAAGCCCAATACTTAATCACCGATTTTTGTCCATTTACGTGTTTTGTTGGCTCTGATTATTGAGTTTGAGCATATTTTTATTCATCGATTTTTGTCCTTACTTTTTTTTCTTTCTCTTGTTCCAGAATCGTATGAAAAAATGGAGAAGCTCATACATAACAGTTTGATTAAACAAAATTGAAGCTTAGATACGTTTATTTTGAGTTTGCCAAAAAAAAGATACGTTTATTTTGCATTCCATTCAAAATATGGTTGATGAAAAAAGAGTAAGAATAAAAAATGCAATGGAAAGAAAAGAAGAAGAAGAAGAAGGGACGAAAAGACCGCCTTCTGTTTTTTTTTTCATGGTGTAAACTCTAGAGTTTACAGGAATGACATGATCAAGTTTTTATTATATTTTCTCTTCGATGAATTTATCATAAAAGGCCCAATTTTATTGGATACTCTTGCATTCAGTTTAGGTACTTATGCAATATATAATGTTTAAGTTTAAACATATCAAAATCCAAACCAAATAAAAATAATAATAATTTGTTAAGTATACTGAAAAATCAAAGTCGAAGTCTTAACACCCATAGTGTTTGTATCATAATATAAGGGATCTCTGCTACTAAATTTTACTAAAAGCATCATTAATAAAATCAAAGTCGAAGTCTTTACACTAATTTTAGTAAATTAGTTATGTTTAATATAAGGGATCTCTGCTACTAAAGTTTGTATCATGTTAATAGACCAATGGTGTTTGTATCATTGTTGTCCACGCTTTTTATCTACTCTTGTAAACAAAGATAATGGTCATGAAAACTAATAAAGTACAAGGGATCTCTGCAAATACAGATGATGCTTCCTCACTTCTCAAGGTTCTTACTTCTTAGCTTTGACCGATTTAAGACGTGTTGTAGTTAAACACCATTTTAAATTGAATTTCACTCCAATTTTTCTTGTCATTCATACCAAAATATTACATATACTGTATTACTGTATATATATGTATTCCAGTCCAAAGCACAAACAAACAAACAAAAGCTTTGGATTCTAAAACTGATTTTAGAGGACTACACATTGACCAAAAAATATATAACATAAAGACAATTTTTTATCTTAGCATTGGACCGGGCCTGGTAACTACGTGTATACAGTATATGTATTTAGTATTTAGATTAGCATAAAAAAATCATATATCACGTGACCGTATCACATGATCTCATTGCCCAAGAGCGAATAATTGGAGAAGAGAGCAGTCAAAAAGAAGAGCAGATGATCCCATTTAGACAATTCGTAAGATCATAATAAAATATTAATGATGAAATGTATAAGCTCAAGAGAAAATTGTATACAAATACAATAAAGTATTAAGTTAAGTATATGCTTGTATAAATATCTCTTGAAATCTTACCATAATTAAACCCTAAAGACTTATCTTCACAACAACATCGAAACAAGCTAACTAGCTCACAGCCGCCATGAAAGAAGCTTTGAAACTTGTCGCTATTGTGCTATTAACTCTTGTTATTTTAGCTTTATCGGGTCGACCCGCTCCCAAATCTGCGATACTAGTCGGGTCATCATCTTCTCGAGTATTTCGGAATCGCCCCAAAATGAATTCATTCGATCAAATAGACCCTAGTCTCCGGAAGATTCCACGTAGCGGCGCAAATCCTACTCAGAACAAGTAGCAACTCGTTATAACAGGTTTTAATATAGTACACGTTTGTCTATACTATACATATATGCTAGATAGATTTTTCGATGGAAGTAACCAAGAAGAGATTCAGAGATCTCTATAAATCTTTAAGGTTTTTTTTTCATGTAATATATATCAATTCCCTTTTAGTATTTCTCCTTTGTAATCTTTTTTTTGTTCTTGATAAAACTCGCCTTGTAATCTTGTTATTGTAACTTTGAATCGTGTTGACATTCAAGAGTAGACGTGTAACGGGTATTGAATTAAACTTTTATGATTTCTACCATGAAATCTAATTCCCAAGATCATCTAGATTCAATTTAATTCAACCACACACTTTCTTGTAGAAGAAGAAAGACTAACCTTGATCCATTGCTTAATTAGGCTTGTAATGGAATCAATTCACCAGTTGATTTCTTCTCCCCTTTGACCTTGTTCCTTTCACGTGATCTTTGATGGAGAAGATCACTAACCCTTTTGATGTTTTTGTGTCTAGTTATTGTTCTGTTTCTGTTTCTCTCGTGAGGAGAACAAAAACGTAACATTTGACGTGTTTAACACCACACATATATATACATGTATATAGCATCTACCAAGGGTTGTATTGGTTCGTAATAACCACCACTTTAATAATGCATGAACATAACATATACATGTATATATATTACTTATAAAATATAATTAAGGCAAGGGAAGAGGGTTATCAATACACCCGAATTCTAATTCTTTAATCGAAACCGATCCATCACGGTATCGTCTTTAATATTAGAATCTTTAACTTTAATATAAACTTGAACTTTATAATTAAACCAAAAAACACATAGGCCACATAGAATAAAATATTCTTACATTCTCCCACTTGGCCTTTGTGTCAAGTTAATGGTTTAATAACTTTAAGTTCTATCATTCTTTCGTTAATTATCATCGAACTCAAAACATGTGTCTCAAAGATGTACGTACGAATTCTAGAAAATTGAATTAAAGACAGGCTATATACCAAATAGCAGATGTTGTTGAGTGTTGACCCTTTTTTTCCTTGACAAAAGAAAAAAAACATTATTTTTTCTGCTAAATCCTCCCGAGTCGACATAAGGAATTACAAACATAAGAAGCCTAGTTTTGAAAAGATACGGCCCGTTCCATTTGTAAAATAGTCTTTTTTTTTGTACCTATGTAATTATTAACTTCGACATTTATCTTGGACCTTATATTTATAGGTAAATGTTTATTTAGTTATTGTAAGTTCTCGTATACTGTAACATATTATGATATTATGGATTGTTATGGTTCGTCAAGATCTTATAGTATACATTAATGCGAAAAAGGTTCCAAAACATGCAAAAAGAGATAGAAAATTAAGAAGTCATTTTATCTTTTATTTGTCCAAAACAATCCCATTCTAAAAGTTGTTTTTAGATTTCCTTATGCAGCATATGAATATGCCCAAACAGAGAAGACTAAATAGCAGAACCGTCCCTTGAACCAAGTGGGTTTGACGAAAAATAAAAAAAGAACCAAGTGGGTCAAGCCCATGCATGTGGCCAATAATATTTTTTTTTCAGATCAATGTTAAACTGTTGGACGACATTCAAACATAATATGATTGACTGTTTCTCCTTATCACAATCACACTTAAAACATCGGATATCATAACTTACTAGATCACCTGTACTAAAGTACTGGTTGAATTTTATTTATTATAAAATTTATATAATATATATATATTAAAATTAAGTTTTAATATATTATAATAATAAGTGAAAAAATATTAATTTTTTTGTCAGTTCCTATATACAATATTAGAATAAATATAGATTTTTTCTATAATACTATATTGTGGATAATTTTTATTTAAGATATGAAAACAGAAAATAATTTTATTTTTTAAAAAGTAATATTTTTTGAACAATGAGTTAATTTATGTTAACAACCACAAAATAAGATTGCATATATTTCAGTTAGATCAAAAATTAAAATATCATAAATGAATCGCATATAAAACATAGATTATTTTGAATTAATTAAGAAAAATAGCTATTATTTTGAATTAATTTAGAAAATTCTTTTTCAATTTATAATTCTTTGGTTGTTGAAATAGAGATTTTTTTGAGTTAATCTAATTACAAAATTTGTTTGAGATTTATAATTACGGAATTTACCAATTATTCGCATAATCGAATATGTTATAAACATATATTTAGTATATAATAATACCAAAATCAACCCATGCGTTTAGTCTATATTTTTATTTTAAAATCTCAATATTTTATTTTAAAATCTCAATATTTTATTTTAAAGGGAAATTGTTAAAAATGCCCCTTTTGGTGTGCCCCTTTTCAAAAATGCCCCTTTTAGATGTCCATTTTCAAAAATGCCCCTTTTTAAATCTGAAATTTTTATAAAGTTTTATTAGGTTTATAAGGTACTTATGGATTGTAACTACTACTTGAAGACTGGATCCAAATATTTATAAGGTTTTATAAGGTGTTTTTAAAGGTTTTACAAGTTATTTTAAAGGATTTTTAAAGTTTTTCAAAGGTTTTACAAGATATTTTAAAGGTTTTTAAAGGTATTTAAAATGCATTTATAAGGTATTTATAAAGTATTTATAAGATTTTAGATATATAGAAATGTAGTTTGTGTATGTTTTAATAATGTTACATACATATTTGGGTAAATCTTATAATTTTAAAAGCATTTTTTATAAGGTTTTAAAGAAGGGGCATTTTTGAAAAGTGGCATTGAAAAAGGAGTATTTTTGCAAAAACCCCTATTTTAAAATATTACGTGCACAATCTATTATTCGTTAATTCTAAATTTGTTTGAGGAATCAAATTTTCAAATATTTAGAGGTGTCAAACCATATTAAAATGTTCTACACTATTTTTTAAATATTCTAAATTAAAATCTTTAAATTTTTTTTGTAGTTTATAAAATTATGAATTTCAAAAAATAAATTATATGAAATTAAATATAACTATTCAAATAGTTATAAGGATCAAAACTCATTTTATCATATAATATATTATATTTAATCCGCTACCTATTATAAATATTTTTTAAAATAATCAAATTAGAGTATTTATAATTTTTAACTTTTTTGAACTATTAAGTATTGATGATATTCTCTAAAAATATCAAGTAAAACTTATTTTAAATGTTGCAAATTAAATTATTTAAATTTTTATTGTAGTATATAAAATTATACATTTCAAAAAAATAAATGTATGAAATCGAATATAAATATTCAAATTCTGACCCGTTGCTCAGTCGGAATTTTTGTTGAATTTATTTTTGTGTAAAAGAAATATATTACTCAAGTCTGAATTTTTGACCGGTTTAATTGTTTCTTTTATAGATTGAACAATTTATATGCGTTTTTAAAAATTCAAATCTTGGCATATGCAGAAAAAATTACTTTTTTTTATTATGTAGATGATATGATGATTTATTTGTTTCATATAAATATAATCATATAAAGATGAGAGGTGAAGTTTAATGATTAATTACAATTTAATATGGTAAGTTAGATATCAAATCTTATATGTTCATTTTGATTGGTCATTTAAAAAAAAAATAACAAATTTTCGTTTTATAATTTAATTAAATTAATTAAATGACATAAATTAGTATTTTACTTGTTTATCCTTAATAAATTGAATGAAATTTGTTCTAAAATGAGCTTTTTGTGATGGCATTCCCATGTAATTCTTTACAAAATAAAAGGTTAGTTAAGGGTTTCTTATAAAGTGTACTCCCCAAATAATAGTATAGGATGGATCGATTTTGGAGATTCAAGTTCACCGCAAATATCACTAACCAGATGAAATGTTTCATTTTTGAATGACATTTTTATTTATGTCTCTATTTTTCTTTTCTGTATTTTCTTCTTCTCAAATAGTGCTCTATTAAGAATTTCTTTTATTTTTTTTCAACTCACAACCTTTTTTCTAAATATTCTTCATAAATTTATCATAATTATTTTTGTGGGTTAATATATATAGTGTATGAATGACACTAATCCATCGATTTACCTCCCCATGACTAAATTTCCATTTTCGATATTTTTATCAACTTAACGTCAATAATTTAATTAGCAAACCTCCATATAAAGCTAGACTATCTACAATATATATAAAACCAATGTTCTAAAAAACGGTCTAGGCGGTCGCCTAGGCCCCGACTAGGCGCTAGGCTCTTATGCGACGCCTAGATAACCGCCTTGACCGCCTAAAATCACACAGATCTTGTTTAATGTATTTTTTCAATTTCAATTAGAGTGTTATTTATATATATAGTATAAATATTCATATATTGTTTAATATAAATATATATAAATGTTTTATCTAGTTTTTGTTTATAATTTCATAATTTTTTGTTTTATATAGATATTTTATATAACTTTTATATATAATATCATATTTATAATATTTTATGTTATAAACGTCTAAACCGCCTAAAAATCGCCTAGGCCCCGATTAGGCGTTCTAGGCGCTAGGCTTTGGTTCACCGCCCGCTTAGCGCCTAGCGCTTTTTTGAACACTGTATAAAACAGTACCGTTATATTCCCTCCGTTTCATAATATAAGGCGTTTTAGACTAAGTTTTTTGTTTCACAATATAAGTCGTTTTCGAATTTCGATGCATATTATATATATTACTTTAATATTTTATGATCATTTATATTATGCAGTCTTTTTTATGATTGGTTGAACTTTTTAAAAGTATATCTTCTTAATCGGCGTATTTTTACCTAAAACGACTTATATTTTGAAACGGAAGGAGTATTAAAGATAATTTCTACTAGTACTAAATGTGAATCAAACGTGCATGATAATTGATACATGTATCTGGAATGGAGAGCCGCCATATAATGCCAGCTTTGGGATCAATTGATTGCAATCATTCTCTCTAGTCTCTAGGATATAATAGTACTGTATATGGCTCTCTTCTTTTCTTTTTTTTTTTTGTTGTTGCTAGGCTATAGCTCTTTCTACCTTATTCCAAATTTCTTCAATAATTATCACCATCAATTTGTACTAAACTTTTTTGAAACCGTAAAACATTTATTAGTTGCGTGGAGTACATGATAAAATTAAAACCATCTGTTTAGTTTTGCATTAAATGAACAAAATTGTCTAGTAAATTGAATTGTGAAAATAAACGAGGCGCGATCTACGGAGATATTTGCGATTATAAAATTCCACGTACAGGTTTATAACAACAAAAAAAAATGTAAAAATAATGGAGAAAATTTAATAATTTCATGATAATACGGAAATAATTACGACGATGATTCGTCAATGCATCCAACCACCCATAATCTTTCGGCGAAATACTTATTTTCTATCAACCCAACCGAATCACAACGTTTTATTTTTTTTATAACTTCACTATTAACAATCAAAGAAATAACTAAAAGGATGGTATTAAGTACAAGGATGTTGGTTCTTCTGTATTTTGGTAAAAAAAAAAAAGTTATTTTTTTAAATTTGAATATGTGAAGTCTGATTTCGGACTTACAGTGCCTGCAGAAGAAACATTCAGTTTGTATGATTGAAATGAAAAAACAATGATTTAGAAATTTTTACTAAATATGGTTAGAGAAAAAGATATTAGGCTAAAGCAGGAAAAAAATGTCGTCGTCTCTAATAATTAAGTTGAATTTGGCTTAGCTGAATGTTTCTGGAGTTGTCCAAATGTGGGTGCCCAACAGGCAACGCTCACGTGGTCCTTTCTCAATAACCCAACATTTCTATGTATAAATTATCCTCTTCTTCTTAATACATTTATGCTTGAAAACAGA